GAAGCAGGTTTTAATATAATCAAAAGACTTGCAGGATTTATTTTATTTTTTTAATTATTATTCTTTTAAACATAAAACTGCTGCAGTTTTCTGCCCAGCTTCATTTAATTTTTCTTCTAGTAAGTTTAATGTTTAAAATCTTGATTAATCCGCCGCTGAAAATAGTCCCCATCACACGCACTGTTCCTGCAGGACTGATGTCAATCATCAGACATGAAACCGGCTTTCTGAACCTTGATGTCCAGAGCTGGGCACCGCTTTGTGATGTGTTTCAGATTTTTATTGCATTTAGAGAACGTTTAATCTGCACAGGCAGGAATAAAACTCAGGAGGAACCCTGAAGCCTTCATGTACTGATCCGGTTCTGACATTCTGACATAAATGTCGTTTATGTTCTTTTTGGGTTTTTTTAGCTGGTAAAGCCAAATGTGGATTAATCCGCCACTGAAAATAGTCCCAACATCAGCTCCGGTTCTGGCTGATTTCTGGGAATAACTTCCTCCTTTTTAAAAAAGAAATGAACCCATTTCTCTCTGTTGTTCATGAAAATGATGAAACACTGAAACTACTTCCTGATGTGATTCTTTTCCAGTCACATGAGGCTAATTAGAGTCACTAATTGGCATTTACAGTGTTTTAATATGAATATTTAAATGTCATCAGCTGGTTTGTGAAGTCACTGATTCTCAGGTTTGTTGTTGCTTCTTATTTTTATTTTCCTGCTTCTCACAGTGGAGTTACTGATGTGAGACTTTTGGTTCTAATTGACTAAATTAAATGAGTTGGTGGAGCCACCAGGAGCCACCAGGAGCCACCGGGAGCCACCGGGAGCCACCGGGAGCCACCAGGAGCCACCGGGAGCCACCAGGAGCCAGCGGGTCCCGGCAGCAGGCTCCAGGCCCCGGAGGGTCCCGGTGCGGCCCTGCAGGCTCTCAGCTCTCCGCGCTGATGTTGGTCTGATTGATCAAAAAGCGGCTGAAGCTGAAAACAGAAAAGTAAAAACAGTGATTGAGGATTTATTTCAGCTCCTCGTTTGTTCAGTTCATGCGCAAAAAAAAAAGAAATAAAAACTGCATCCAGCTGCTTCCTCTGACGGACAAACGCCACCTGAACCACATCTTTTATTTCCGCCCTCAGACGCCGGAGGAGGCCGCCGACTGAACACCGGAGCCTCCCGGAGCTCCGGCAGCCGGCGGAGGCCGCAGAGCGGCGGCCCGGAGGAGGAGCGGAGCGGCGCGGGGAGAGCAGCCGAGGACCAGCGTCCGTCTGCGGGGAGCGGCAGGTCTGACAGCCGCTGGTCCACCGTTCAACAGCATTTATTGATTTATTGATTTTATTTAAAGCCCACAAACACACACACACGTCAGCTTTAATAATCCTGAACGTCCTGTGACGGCTGCGGCCTGTTTGGATTCATTAACGTTCAGTTCTCCGGTTCTCGGTTCAAATAGATTTTATATATAAATATATTATAAATATTAAATATATATTTGTTCAGGTGGTTCTTAGTGTTTAATCATAACATTATTCTCATATTTCGATCAGTGAAGGAAAAAAAAGAAATAATCACAGTTGTGTTTTTAATGTTCTGCTCTTCCTACTATGAGTATTAATATATTATTATTATTCATATATATTATTATTATTATTAATAATAATAATAATAATAGTAATATTGACAACTATAATAGTACCATAATAGTGATGAACAAAAGTCGAGTTTCTCTGTTTAAAAATATAATTAAAATGCATTTAAAAGTGTGAGAATAATGATCACACCTGCACAGGAATGGTGACAGTAAATAATAATAATAATAATGATAATAGTAATGATAATGTAATGATAGTAACAATAATGTTGAGTTTCCTCATTCTTTTCTAATTGAACCGATTAAAATTACAGTTTTCCTAAATGTGAAAATATTACACCCTGCGATAATAATTAAAAGTTTAGTTTCTCCATTTATAAAATAGAATACAATTGAATTTAAGATGTGATCATAATAATAACAGCGTCTGTATATTACTACTGATAATAATAATGGGAGGACAAAAAAAGAAGGAAATAAACAACAATAGCAATAATCAACCAGAGTCCCTGTTGTTCTAAAGATGGACAGACTTACAATTATAGTTTTATTTCAAAATGTAGTGATAATAAACCTCCAAACTATAACTAAAGATAATAATCCAAAGATTAAAGTGCTTTAAATTAAAGTTTGATGTTTTTCAGTTTCAGGTTCCTTTAATGAAATATTTAAATTAAATAAATGTAGTTTCTTCAGGATTTCTCCCCGTAATTAATGTATTTATATAATTATCAGGAAAATAAAACCGTTAAACATCAACACACTGAAAAAGAAAACTTCTTTTTTTTCAATTCATTTCTTTTTATTGATATTTTTTTTTTCCAAATCTGAACACAGAAAGTACAAAGTCTGTTGTTTTTTTTTTCTTTCATTTTCTTCCCTTTTCTCAGAGGAGACGAGTCGGACAGTTAGTGCATCGATCCTAAAACGATGAAAAAATAGATCTAAGGAGGAGAAGAAGTGCTACATAAGAGGATGATGAGGTAAATCTGTCGAGGAAGAAGGAACGAACAGATGAACGGATGCAGTGAGAGAAACAAACAGCACACGTTATTATTATTATTATTATCATCGGTATGTACACGGCAGATGCATAGAATACTTTCCTTTTTTTTTTCCTTTTGTTTTTTACATAAATACCTACATTTTCCCCCAAAAAGACAAACAAACAAAAAAAAACACCAGCAGATTGAAAACTGCTGCAGGTTCCAGCGAAAAACAGCCTTTAATCAGCAGCAACGTTCAGTATCTCAGTTATCGGGAACAAATCTCATTAAAATCTGAACCTTAAGTTTGTTTATCATCAGAAAAATGTCCTGCTGTGGCACCAAATCCTGATCAATCCGCCGCTGGAAATAGTCCCACTGTTCCTGCACGATTACAGTGATTAATTAGCTCCTTTTTAAAAAATTAAACCATATTTTTAAGCCTAATTGTTCTAACAGTGTACCTAAGAATTTAAAACCCCCTAGGACCTATTTTAGTCTCACATTAGTCCATTTTTTTTTTTGCATTTTAAGTATATTTTTGTTGCTGTTTTAAAGCATAAATTCAGTCAAAAATGCTGAAACCGTCATTTATTTTTTAATTTGTAAATAAAAGTGATTGAATTCCAACACGTCGGCCTCATAAACGTCCTTCATGTGCTGCTTTTTAGCTGCAAATGCACAAAAACGAACCAGCAGCAGCTAACGAGGATTGATCCGGCGCTGTAAACAGTCCCCGACAAATGCATCGTTAAGGAATTAATGCTAGAAATAAAACCAGATTTCTAAGCTTGTTGTTCGGAGCTGCAGCGTGTTCATGAGTTTATAAATCCATAATGCAGTTTTTGCATTTCTGCAGCTTTTATTTCATTTTGAAGAAGTTTTGTTGCGGTTTTAACGTCTTTCGCTGCGAAATCCAGCCGAGGACGTTAAAAACTTCAATAACTATAATTCGTCAATAGCAGCGATCAAACTCTGACCCGTTAGCCTCATGAAACTCCTTTCTGAGCTCGTTTTTAGCTGCAAACTCAAAAATCAACGGCGCCACATCAGGATTAATCCGCCGCTGAAAATAGTCCCCAGCAGATGCACAGTTCCTGATTAAATTTAGGAACTTTTCACGATTTATTTTTTAGTATTCTCACTAAAGTTGTCTTTATTTCTGGCCGTGGCTAAGAGCTGATTAATACTGAGGACGTTTGTTTATCGCTTGTTAATAACAGTAATCCAAATTCTGACATGAAATGTGGATTAATCCGCCACTGAAAATAAAACAGGAAGCAGCTTTTTTTTTTAACATATTTTTTGAACCTTTTCAGCAGGAACCAGTGAATTTCAGGCTGATGAGATTTGTTGAGAATAAGAAGAATACTGAACATCGTCACGTGTTTGCAGGATGTTTTCCATCCAGGAGGATCCAAACGGTCACCGGTCCGTCCAGCAGGGAGCGAAGAGGTTCGTTCACGGTCTCTACCGGCTGTAATATTCTTTCGGGAGCCGTTATTTATCATCTGTAAATAACACAAATCACATCTCGTCTTCACACTCAGAGCTACTAAAAACCCCGAAAAGGTTTTTTACTGCAGCTTTTTTTTTCTTTTGAACATTTACCAGCCTGCTTGTTCTGCAGATTTATGAAAACCAGTTTGTTGGAAAGAACATCTCAGACGTCGTATTTATGTCATTTAGATCTGCTGTAAACTGTCCACATGTCAAGGCTGTAGGAGTTTTATTGACCTTTAAAGGGGCCCCACTGGTAAGATGGTGTTAGTTTTATTTCCCCAATAACAAAAAAGTCAACTCTGAACTAAATCCGTTGTCTAAAAATGACTCCCAGACTCATCCGAGCATCTGAATCTGTTTCTCTGAGCACTTCTGAGGGATTATAAACGGGATAGGAGGCGTCTGACTGGGACAAACTGAATTAAAGCGACGGTCGGGTCCTCGCCGTATGATTGTCGGCCGTCGCATGTCGGGTTTCGGGCAGATCGGAGCACGTGCAGCCGAGCTGCACGCCACTTCCTGTTTAATGGCGTCTAATGGCATTTTGGCAAAATTCCGTAAGCCACCATTTTGACGCGGTCAGACTTTTGCGGAGCGTTTTATTACCTTACTTATTACTTTTATTACCTCCACCTCCTGGCCAGAGTCCAGGTGCGTACGACTTTCCCTCCAGGAGGAGACGGATTTTAAAAATGGCCAAAAATGAGCAAAAATCGCCATCTTTTTTTCAAAATGGCAGACTTCCTGTTGGGTTTAGGGCTTGGTGCTGATTGACTTTTTTGTGCGTCCCGACCTGCTACACATGCCTACCGAATTTCGTAGGTGTAGGCCAAATGTGTTTCTGACGGGGCTCCGTTGAGTTTTTCTAGGGGGCGCTGTGGAGCCATTTTGCCATTGACATGCCCAGTTCCTTTAAAATATCACATTTTTCACCAGTCCTGATGTACGTGCCAATTTTGGTGAGTTTTGGCGCATGTTTAGGCCCTCTAATTTGCATTTCTAAAGTTGGTAAAAGAATAATAATCACAAAGTTTTCTCGAGGTTTCTTGGACTGGTAACGGTCAGATCCTAATTACTGTTGTTCAGACGAGTCAGAAAGACGTTCCAGACTCTCTGTACCTTTAATTGTAATCCTAAACCGTCAAGCTGAGCTGGTAAATGTTAAAACATCTCACCGTAGACCGACTCCCTGAACCATCTGGATAAAAACCCAACGACCACGTCTGGTGCATGAAGAGAGATTTGAAACCAATGTCTTGCTCGTTTTGGGCGACACAGCCTCCAAAAATGAGGTTTGTCTGTTTAGAAACACTTAAAATCTGCAGAGTTTATTCCAGAGTTCAAGTAAAAGAAGATTTTAACTAGAATCTCCTGAAGTTGTTTCTAGAATTATCAAAGACGGAGAAGATTTTAACACGTTTATGTTCGTTTTGGTTGACGAAGCATAAAAATGGAGGTTCTACCGAAAACGGAATAAAAACCGTTCATTTCATGCAGCAGATGGTTCTGAGAGTCTGTTAAAGGGGTTTAGTAAAGAAAGTCAAGTAATCTTTTAATTGTGAGATGAATCTTTAGCTGCTGGAACCCTGACAGTCTGCAGAGTTTGTTCCAGATTTCAGCTAAAAGAAGCCGAGACGTGAAGAACCTCAGACGGAATCTCACATTTTCCTGAAGGTGTTTCCAGAATTATCGAAGGTTTTTCACCCGTTTCCTGCTCGTTCTGGCTGACAAAGCATACCAACGGAAACGGGTTAAAAACCTGCAGCGTTTGGTTTTTCTTCAGCAGATGGTTCAGAGACTCTTTTCTAGAGTGTCAGATGAAGCTCCTGTAAGACGAATGTTTAGCTGCTGGAAACCCTGAAAGTCGGCAGAGTCGATTCTAGAAGGCTGCCATGTAAAGACGCTGTTTTTTCTCTCTTTAATCCTGCAGTGAAACGTTCCTCCTGCGTCGTTTCACTCCTTCCCTGCTGGACCAACCTGGTTTTTCCGTTTCCCCGTCCGTCCGATCAGTCGGTCGGCCGGTCGGTCGGTCGGGAGCCTTCGTCCCTGCAGCTCCTCGACTTTAATCGTCTCTGTTTCAGCTTCGTTTGGCACCAAAATCAGCCGTCCAGTGTTCAGTCGGCAACACGTTTTCCTCCCGGAAGCATCAAATCCTCGTCAGTCCTTTCTGTTTTTTAAAAAAAGTTCTCAGGACAGTTCAGGACGTCCATCGGAAAGGTGAGCCGTCGACTTCCGGGTGTTTGTGAGCGTCGTGTTTGTGTTGTGTTTGTGTTTCATGATGCAGTTGTCGGTTTTCTGCAGGTTCTGATGTCAGTTTCCTCCAAAAAAACTAAAGTATTAAAGCCTCAGATTTGGTGTTCGTGTGTGACTTTAGCAGGAAGTTTTAAACATGTCGGTTATTTTTATCGGCCGACCTTTTCTGCTGCTTCTCCAGGTTGTGTCTCAAAGTCGAGATCTGAAAGGTCCTGAGTTCGACTCCTAAACCTCCAGAAACTCACAGTCATGCATTTAGCGCTTCAGTGGAACATGATCAGTAATCAGGGTGGGATTCGTCTTTCTAGGTGAACGTCTGGGACGACATCAGCTTTTATTGAAACATTTCAGTCTTTGTTCTACTTTATTACGCATTTAAAGGATTTTTTTTAAAGTCGATTTCATGAACCTGACAGCAGCAGCTGATCACAAGGAGCTTTAAGATGTTTCTGAGCTGATGCCAATCGGAGGTAAAGCTCACGGACATGTCCACTCTCCAGGGAAGAGATTTAACCTCGTGGTGCGTTCAGGGTCCAACTGTATGCATGTTTTCCTGATCAACCTGAAGCTGCTCGTTTGCTTAGTTTCGTGTAATAAGCAGAGTTTAGAGGAAGGCTTTTTGTTTTCCTGGAACTGAAACTGTGTGAGTCGCTTTAAACTGCGCTAGAACTTTACTTTTTGGCGAATGTCAAAAAAAAGACTCGACGACAAACAGAACTGTTGAAGCAACAACTGCACCTGGTTCCCTGATTTCTGTGCGTTGCTCGTTTTGAACGTCTGAACGCAGCGCAGACTCCTGCTTTGACTTCATGGTGGTGTGTGTGTGTGTGTGTGTGTGTGTGTGTTTCCGGTGGTGTTTGTGTGCGACAGCTGTACGGCGGCGTCCTCGCTGCATTTAGTCCTCACTGATGACGTCCACGTCCTCGCCGCCGGCCTGCTGCGTCGCGGCCCTCCAGCGGCTCACGTGTTGGCTGCCCTTCCTCTTCTGCTGGGCTTCGGGCGACTCCTCCTCCAGCTTCTGGCGCTTGTGCTTCGTCCGGCGGTTCTGGAACCAAACCTTCACCTGCACACAGACACAGAGGCACTGAGTACAGGACAACGCTGAGGATGGAACCC